AAGGAGTAATATGAGAAACTATTTAGCAATTAATTAAAAATAAAGGCTAATAAAGAGTGTGTTATAGCCAATTAATTAAAACATAGTAACGGTGAATACACCAAGCTAGTAAAATAAAGGTAGAGAAGCATGAGCTAAAAGAGAAAGACCAACTTTAACTATTTGGCAATGTTTTCTTTCAACCATGCCATTCTATTTAGAAGTGTGTAGGCATGTAAAATGATGTTGTACGTAACATTTAGCCAAGTATTTAGTAAAAACTACAAACTGTCTATCATTATTGGTCTATAATTATTGAATTTCTGTTTGAAAATATAACTCAACAATAGCCTTAAAAGTATGAAAGATAGAAAGAACATTTGATTTCTTTTTTATCATGTAAATCCATGTAAAACGTGTGTAAACATCAAGAAAAGTGATGTAGTAAGTAAAACCATGCGAGACAATATGTACAAGACCTTAGAGATCAATGAATACAAGTTGAAAAGGCTATGTATACATTGTAGAGGATGGTGAAAATGAAAACTTACAACTTTTCCCTAAGCAACATGCATTATAGGGAGAGAAAATAGAAATAGAAGCATGGGGTACATTATACAAATGTAAAACATGCTTGAGAAAATCACTAAAAGGATGCCCAGGATAAAAATGCCATAAGTCCAAGGAGCTTATATTGAAAGCTTGATAGCATAGAGGTGATTTTGACACTTTAATGGTAAGGATGACAGAAGCACTGCCACCATAAGATACATTCCATTGATTTCAAGTCCATGCAGGAGAGGTCTTTGAGTTTGTAAGTCTTTTACTAAATAGGCACGAGTAAAGAACTCAACTGAGACATCGTGTTCTTTAGTAAATTAAGAAACTGAATATAGGTTTTTAGTAATAGTGGGAACGTATAGGACTCGTGACAAATTTAACTAAACAAAGGGAGAATGAAAATCATTTTTCCCACGAAAGTAATAGGTTTAAGATCACCATTACCTACACATATATTCCCCTGATCAGAATAAGGCTCAGATTACTATAAGAAGGAGGCATCCTTAACAACATGTTGAGTGGCACCAAAATCCATATACCATGCATTATCTCGCACAACATTAGTGGTTACAACATATGCATGAGGTAAGTAGAGATAGAGGTAGATCCCTGCATGGAGGTATAAGAAGGAAAGTAGAAGTAGAAGGTGTTATAACATTCAAAATATTATCAAAAGATGATGCAAGAGTAGATAAAGGTAGATCCCTAAGTGGAGGCAAAAATAGGTGTAATAGCAAGGGGAGGAACATAGTTCTGAGTAAAAGAAGAATCAGAGGATGATGCAAGAGTAGTATGATAGCCAATAGGAGATAGAGTAGCCATATAATAGGTATGATTATTAGTACGAGGAGTAGTGGTATAAGAGTAATTACATCTGTAATAAAGTGACCAGCTAGATGACCAACATGATAAAAGATTTAATAAATAGGATGAGAAGATGGAATAAATTGCCCATGTCCACGACCACCACACATAGATGGAGCCAAAGGATGAAAACCACCATATCTAATATTGGACAATGATCCATGAGCATAGAAAACCATATCAATATGATCATCAAAAAGAGTCGAGTAGATACCATATGAATTTGAGCAACTTATTGGAGAAAAGTCTTTTGATGAGCTTCTGTATCGATTAACATTGTAGAAATAGTGTTAAGGTCAAAATAAGAAATAATAGAGTTTACCAGGGCAATGAATAGCTCATATTCAGTCATGAGTCTATTGAGAATCTGTAAGATGTGTGCACATTCATCCACACAATAACCGGGCATAGTTAAATGGTCACATATGGACTTAAGTTGAGCTAAATAATCACACATTAGTAAGTTACCTTACTTCAAATCTGTAAGCAAATTTTAATAATGTAACACCTTTGATTCATACTTGGTTAGGTAGAGGTTACAAATTTAGTTTCTGCTAAATTTGCGATGCTAAGTCATGGCCAACAAGTTTTGGGAGTATGGATGGAGAGACGGAGGTAAGAAGCCAAGAGGTAAAGGTGGAGTCTTGTTGTTCTTGTTCATATTCCTTGAATACATGATTGGAAATAACTAGATCATCATCAACTCGAATGGTCATTGGAGGAATCACTTGAATACCAATAAAAAAATAGCAAATTAGCAACAGAATTTAGTAACAAAATAAATTTTCATCGCTAATTTACTGACGAAATTCCATTGTTAAAAAATCAGTCGCTATTCCATCGCTAAACTGTTAGAAATAATTTTACCAATGACATTTAGTGACGAGACGTTCCATCGCTTAAATATCAGAAATAATTCAGTGACATAATTTTTTGACAAAAATGTTCATCACTATTTTTCAAGATATGGTATTCTCATTTTGTGATAGTATTTGCAATGAAGAATTCCATCGCAAACCTTTCCATCATAATTTTGTCACTAATTTCATCATAAATTGTTTTAAATTTTATTACATGGTTTATAATATGTATTTATATATAATTTATCATTATGCAATAAATAAATAATTTAATAATTATAATTTATTATTTTAAATTATTTAGATATTAATAATAATTATAATAATTTAAATTATGTATTTAATTATTTTTTATAACATAGTAACATACCTAATTATTGTTATTTAAAAATAAAAGTATTTTTAAATAATAATTCAAAAATATAAAATATTATATATATATATTATAAAAATTATAATATGATATATAGTGATAATAAAATATTTGTTCATTATAATATTAAATTTTCTATCAAAAAATAATTTTTTAACATTATAATATAATATAAAATAAGTATTAAATAAAAAATTAATTTATTTTATTTCTAAATAAAAACAATTTAAATGAAAACAAATATATTTAAATTATATATTTATTGATATATATACATGGGCGGTTATATATTATATATTTAATTTATTAATTAAAGATTAAAGATCTCCTTTAACTCAACTGGTAATAAGATTGGATGCAAAGGCCTACGAAGATGTGAGAAAGGTTCAAATTTGGCCAAAGCACATTTAAAGTTATTTGAAGTTAATATATGACGTGGAAGTGACATGACAGGAACATGGTGACATGGTGACTATGTGGTCGGGAGCGGATGACGAGGTGGCAGTAACATGGCGATGAGATAGCATTGACCTATTGAGTGACATGACAATAATGATTTCTTTTTATATAATTTTTATTTGTGACGGATTAGCGATGGGATGCATTTCGTCACAAAATTATAATAGTTTATCCTTGTTTAGGGATGAAATTTTTCATTGCTAATTCTGTCACTAATAAATTAGTAAGGTGTTTTTATCGATAGATTTATTCCATCGCTAACCCGTTTAGTGACGATATTTTTAATTACTAATTCACTATTTTTTTGTAGTGAGTACTAGCATGAAATGTGTGAAGATAATGTTGTTTGAATATGAGAAAAACTTGTTGCTTCCATAAGAGAAAATTATTGTCATCAAGTCGAACAATAATCTTCTTGTTGGTAAAGATCTTGGAGAGAAAAGGCCAATCAGGTTGGGTAGTCATTGTTGAATTTGAAAAGAAAATTAAGAAGATGGATAGAGATACTCTGATACTATATTAAAAGGAGAGAAACAAATAATGATAAAATGTGTTATTTAATATTTCTGAATTGAAAATATTTGAAATAAAATGATGGGCTTTTATGAAAGTGTAAACAAGAGAACTGAGCCTGTACCATGTTAACGGACTTGAGTAACAAACTAATAGTAACTTGAACAGATAACAAAAAGCCCAACAGACTATAACCATATGCTCCAATAACATCATTGACAAAAAATTTCATAAAAAATTCAGATATCAATATATAAACTTATATTTATATATCATATAATCAATATCATCATTTTATTAGTCTCATTTTATTGCATGAGTGAAAGAAGATTGGCTAGACTCTTCTAAAGCATAATCCATAAAATAAGTGTCGGCAAAAAATTCCATTAAGTAGGTTAATCTCCACTAAAAGTATAGCGAGAATTCAGTATTGCAAGAAATTTCATATTTACTTCATACTTACTGACCTCAAGGGTTAAATTTTTATTTTAAATGGGGATTCTGTATCATTATATATTTAGCGAGTCGGAAATTAATGACTTTATCTGGTAAAGTGTTTCTGTGTTGGTGAGAACTTTTCATGAGGAGAGTCAACTTTCAAGAGTATCCAAAGATAAAAGTGATGTCACGAGAGCACATCACTTTGACCACCTCACAGTAACTATGTTGGATTATTGCATAATTAATTAATAACAATCAATTAGCTGATAATTCACATGTGACTGCACTAAATATATAAAAGATTCCAATATCCTTTCTAGCACGGGTTGTTTACCTACTCATTCACTAATTTTTAATCTCGGTAAACTCATTTTAAAAGAAAAGTCGAGTGTATTCAAATCCGTCTTGGAAATGTCAAAAATAATAAAAAAAAACTTAAAAATAAGCAATAAATCGGATGCACACTTAGAAGGCTCGTGAGGTTATTAACTTAATCTGAATTCAAGATCATTTTATGAACTTGCTACTCTTCCCTCAAAAAATTTAGACGGTAAGAACAGGAAGCGACCAGAGAGAAAATAAATAGACAAAAATAATAAAAAGACAATTACATTTTAAATCAAAATATTCTCAATATTTAAATTTAAAAATTATTTCACTTTATTAGATGTTAATTATTAAGACTAATTTTATCTTAAGTGGGATTTTTTAAATCAACTTAAATTCACTCGTATGTAGATAAACTAACATATTTTTACATGTCAGGTTCTGAAAATAAAAAACAGAGAGAGATGTGAAAGGAATCACTGAAGAGGATGAATGATTTTGAACATGCCCCCTCTAATTAATCCAGCCGGAGAAAAATCAGATCCATGAGCCGATGATAAAGTTACAGAACGGCTGGGTTTCCAGACCCCACCCGCTCCCCTCGCTAATGAACCTCATTCAAATTCAATATTCAATGCATGGCCCAGTCCTCATTGGATTCGACATTAGTAATTTACAACAAACCGTAGTCGTAATGTAACACGATTCAAACAAGCCTACTGCAGGAAATATAGTGTGTCATACTGATACAAACATATGCAGGGGAAAATTAATTAGAGATATAGAATATATAGATGATATGATAGATAAAGGCATGAACATGGCTACATGAGGGAGCAGGCGTGAGGGTTCTCGTCGCTGAAGAGGGAAGCGAAGGGCTCGTCGGAAGAGGCAGCGACGGAGTAGAGAGAAGGAGTGTGGAAGAAGGCGTGGACGCCGCTGGAGGCTTCGGATCTGGAGGATTCGTTGTAGTAATGGTTGACGATGTAGGTGGGGTACTTGTGCAACGACGTCGTCAGCTGAGACTGCGTTCCAGAGTAAGGCCACGGCTCCGCCGTCTTGCCCGCTCTCCTGATCGCCTTCAGCACCTTCTTCTCCAGTTCCACTCCGTACCCTCTCACTCTCACCTTCTGTTCTTCTATCTCCACCTCCACTTCATCCACTCCTGCACCACCCACCACTCGATCGATCAATTTATCATTTTGGTTCATGAAGTTTAATCTTTAATTTATCAATCAAGTTCCCTTAAATTTCAACACTATATACAATTAGTCCTTTGATTTGAAGGGCAAATTGTACTTGGTTATGGTTAAGAAAAGTTGGCAACAATCTTGGCAGAATACACCCAGCACTTGAGCAAACATAATAATATAGCAGACAGTGAGGCAGCCAGGCATCGTAAAAGCTGGACAGGGACAACACTTTATCGACTCCTTTTCGCATCCGCTTCACCTTCACAATTGTTCCCCCTTGATAATTAATTATTCTTATTTTCTCAGGTGTCCACTATTTATCCAATCATCTTTTTTTAAAAAAAAAATTTAGGTGAAACAAAATACAATCTATCTAAATTTATGTGATAGATAGGTCTGGTAATATCATTCTATGCTTATACAATAAAAATATAATAATCTATAAAAAAATATCTCGCCGAGACTTGAAATGATAGACAGTACTAAAAAATTTCTCCATCCTTTCATGCTAGATCATCAGTTTCTAACTTGGTCCAAGTTTTATTTGGGTCATCCATGGATTTCACTTCCAAACTGGGCCTTTTCTTTTTCCGCCTCATGGGCTGGCATTGTTGATAGTGCTAGTGAAGATGAGCCTATAATATTATCTAACTCTGGCTTTTTTAAATAAAATAAGATCAAATAAGAACTAAATCTCAAGTTTCATGCAAAAACATGGAGCTCATAGAAGCAAGCTATAAATAGTATTACTTTCGATATAATTCATGTTGTGTATTATATTAATTTATTATTATTGAAATATTACTTTATCAGCCTCAGCAGTTTGCCTTGGATAGTGACTAATTTGTCAAGAGATGGATGGCTTGCACACGTTATTCTCCAAGTACAAAAAACAGGTTATATATATCCGTTAGCTTCTTCTTCTAGCCTCACTAATTCTAGTATGGGCTTTTTCTCTATTTTCTGTTTCTGATGCTCCGAGGTCTGACCTCTCAAATGAGACGAAATTTGACCAAAGTCACATTAAAAAACGATATGTAGAATTTGTTTGAGAAACAAAGTGATCAGTCTCATCATGTTCATGGACAAGACTGGTGATTGATGATGACAATATTCGAAAGGGGTATTCTTTTTTCTTGTACGCTCTCGCCGCGTGTGCGTTCATTTTTGCATAACGAAGTCCCACAGCATTCATCACTGCCCAGAGAAAAAGCAAAAAAAGCTGATTTGATGCAAAGTACCTTTAAGCTTGATGAGAGCTTTCTTCAACTTGGAAGCACATCCCTCACAGTCCAGATTCGGAACTCTGATCTCTATCATCTGCATTAATCAGATCCAACAACACAACACAATATCTCAGTCATGTTTTGAGGAATGGTCATGTTCTACCATGCCAGATCAGACCACCATTTTGTTATACGTTGTAGTGTACATGGAAACACAGAAAAAGAGAGAGAGAGAGAGAGAGTACTGAGGAATGAAGAACTCACCGTGGACATGGTGGGATTAGCTGAGAGAGAGAAGGAAGAACACAAAATGTTTGAGAAGAGCGTGAGAGGAAGAAGTTGACGGTGGAAACAGTGGTCAGCCTTTGGCTTCGATCAAAGTGATATATGTGCTTAAACAAAACACCCTCAGGCGTCCCTTTATAAAGCCTTGGGTTTTGAACTCCCAAAGCGCATGTACAGGACTGTCTATTCACGCGTGGGAGGGCAAAACTGTCACTTCCTTTTTGGCGCTAGCTCTATCTCAATTAATTATATACAAGTGAATGCGTGTGAATGATAGCCGATTCAAATATTGAAGGGGTGTGTAAATGTGGAATGATGAAATGCTTAATTAAATGTCAGCAATTGGGTCACTTTCCCTCTCTTTTGTTGTGTTGTTGGACAGGAATTGAAAGCAAGAAGCATGTCTTGAAGGGTTGTGGCTGTAAATGTAGTCGATGTGCTGTGTAGGACCTTTCTTGCACGCTCTATGCGGGCGCAGGTCGGTCGTCATTAGGTAACTAATTAAGTGGAGATTTGAAATTACTGATCATGTACTTAATTTCCCCCACACTTTTGCAGTTTAATAATGATTAGAGTGTGTTGTTAACTTTTCGATTTAGAAAACGAGCTGTTATGAACATGTCTTGGCTCTCAAGTGGAAGTCAATTGGAGCCACACAATGTGATGGAATAAAATTAAGAGTTAATATATAATTTGAATTCTAAATAAATTATAGGTATTGGAGTAATTTGAATCCTAAATCTTTAAAAAAATGCATTTTAAATTTTAAATAATTAAAGTTAGGACAATTTTGCTCCTATCATTAACTTTCAACAAATGTCCATCAAATTCATTTAAGAAAAATTACATTTTAGGCTCTAATTTAACAAAAGTTTATTGAAAGTTAAAAATAAGGGTGAAATTATTTTAACTTTAATTATTCAGGGTTTAAAATGCATATTTTTAAAGGTTTAGGGTTCAAAGCGCCCATATACCTAAAGTTTATGGTCCAAATTACATATTAACCCTTTTATATTTTAAAAAATGCACTCTAATCAATAATAATTTAATAGTAACAAAAAAGTGTATTTTTCATATTATATTAATTTTTAAAAAGATTTTAAAAGAGTATGTAAGTTTTTTGGTTTGAATTGATTGATGAAGGTGAAAATTTATAAAATAGAACCAAATACTTTTATAATAAATAAAGTGACAAAGAAAAAAAATGTATGAAGAGAAACCTATTCAAGATTTTTTCTTAACAAAGAATGATAATGTTTTTTTTTACTGATATTATTATGAAATTCCATTATATCAAAGAATAAATAGGAAAAAAATATAAAACGTACACTTATAGTGAAAGATTATGTTACACTTCTATTATTGCCATTGATAGCCTTTCAAAACCCCACTCAGTAAGAACAAAAATAATTAACTCGACATCGTTTCACTTATACCCACTATAATCTCCACCAAAAATTATTTTACTCATTATTACAATTTACAGCTTTCTTTCTTTATAGTGTTATTATCCTCATCATCATTATTATTTACTTTCTTTTATTGTTTCTTCTCATGAAAAAATTTGTAATATTATTACATGTTAATATGCAATTTGAACCCTAAACTATAGGTTTAGAGACGCTTTGAATCCTAAACTTTTAAAAAGGTGCATTTTAAACTATAAACAGTTAAAGTTGGGATAATTTTGTCTCTATTATTAACTTTCAACAAATGTCTGTCAAATTGAGACCTAAAATACAATTTTTTTTCAAATAGATTTGACAGACGTTTGTTGAAAGTTAACGGTAGTAGTGAAATTGCTCCAATTTTAATTGTTTAGGGTTCATAATGTACTTTTTTAAAATTTATGGTTTAAATCACTGCTGTACCTATAGTTTAGAGTTTAAATTACATATTAACCCTAAAACTAAAGCTACTAAAGAAAATGACACTTAATTAAGGAAATTCCAATTCTTTTTAGTTATGAACTATTTACATATAGTTAATTAATTAACAGTTCTACAAATCACTTAGATAATTTTTATGAGCTCGCCATGCAATTATTTATCAATATTCAGATCTACGGAATCGAATTAGACATGAGTTGCAGTATTCATATATATAATAACTCTTGAATGCGGTACCGTGAGAGTTATTAATTATAAAATAAATATGGATATATATATATAAAGTTATGTTTTTGAGGGGGTTACAAAACATTCTTTGGTTGAGATGAAAAAAGGTGGGATGCAAAAGCTAAAAAGGAAAAGGGAGAGGATGTAGCTCTTTTATGCTACAAAAATCTGTCCCCATTGATTTTCGGTCAAACCTTTACGGGGCCATCATTTGCACTCTCACAAGCAATTTCCCTCACCACCACATCATTTTACTTCATCTCCCCCCCCCCCAAACAAAAATTATGGTCAACAAATTGTTTTCACTACGTACTAAATTTTATTCAACTTACCTTGCAAAAAAAGATACATTTTTCTCTTCAATTTTTTTATTATATATTGATAATGAAATGCTGGTTAACTTGTTTTATGGGGGAAAAATACTAGGAACTGTTTGGAACTTTGGATAGAGTACGTCGTCATTGAAAATTAATTAATTAATTAGACATGTTGGACTAAGAATGCTTTTATCTTAAGTTACTTCCAAAACACAGCACTAATCAAAATTGGAAAGAAACATGTACCCTGAGAGAAGCTTTTTTTTTTTTTTAGGGCTTCATTACCCATAATGCCCACCCACCCATATTTACACTCATTCTTCATAGGAAAGAAACATACACACACCAAAATTTTCTCCACTCTGGGAATTGAACACACATCCTCCTTATTACAAGAGAAGAGTGTTGATGTCACTAGGCCACAAGGGCCGCCAGCAGTAGCCTTGACTAAAAATGAAAAGAGGGAAGCCTTTTTTCGCCCCTTTAGTGATGTGATGGGGAGTTTAATAAACAGGTAAACAAGAAATTTATCCAATGTTACATGATTGTATCTAAATTTCTACAAACTGATATTGAGAGGACAAATTTCACACTTATCATTACTATTTTAATGATATTATGTATTTATATCTTGAATGAAAGCATGATTCAGGATTTCAAGTATTTTAAGAATACGGTTTATTAGCATGTTTTCAGAAATAATTACAAATCAATCATTGAAAATGACAGTAGTTTCAGGGTCATGAATATAATTGAAATAGATGTTTTTTGTTTGCATTTTTGGGGCGTGGATAGATGAAGGGATGAGGAAAAGGGGAAGAATATAGATAGATAGATGTAGAAAGGGAAAAGGGAATTGTGATGATGGGGACGGAGATTTTGAGGAGAAGGCTTTCACGTATCCGAAGCTGCCGAAGGCTAAATAGGAGTCACAAGCAAGTCAGGTTACGTCCCTTTTCTTGCATTAATCTATCCAAATCAACAGCTGTGTGTCACGTCCTTATTAATTCCTCTTCAACCTCCTCCTTCTCTCAATTATTCCTGCTTCAATCTCATCGGATTGCGTTTCTTTTGTCTACTTTCTAACATCCCATCACTTTTTCATTCATATATACTTCTTCCATTCTATCTTTATCCTTACCAAATTGACCAAACATAAGTCGATTCAAACTTATGCGCAAAGTCTCACATAAAGAAATGGATTTAGTAACTAATAGTATAAAATAAATAAAAAAAATTATAAATTTAAGCCTTACAATTTTAAATTAAGATGTGATTTTATTTTATCACTCTTGCCCAACTCCTATTTTTGGGCAATCGCTATTAGAATTGGTGGTTAGGATGTCATTAATAGAGGTGTTATTCCATCACTTTCATTCATTTGTTTGTTTTTGGACGGTCACTTTCTATTCTTAATAAGCGATACTTCTTATTTTATATTAGTTATTAAATTTAATTTTATTTAATGTAAGACTTTTTATATTTGTTTAAGTTCACTTAAACTTGAGCAACCGAACAATCCTTGCTTCTAATATTTCCCACCAAATTACCCTGATGCTGACCTTTATTTTGCTTGGCAACTTGTTGCTGATGGGGTCAACTTGGACCAACCATGTCATTTTTACAAATTACACTGGATAAACTCAACACACTCCCTCATGATTTATTTATATCACATCTTTTAAAAGTAATTTTTAATTTAAAATATAAAATATTTTGTAATGATTAAAGCACTTTTTTTAATTTTATGTTTTTTAATTAACGTAAAAATATTTAATATAATTGTATCCTCATTTAAAATCAAAGGTAAAAATAAAAATATATTTTATTTTTTTATAATACAAAAAAATTAACTTTTTTTTAATATACATAAAAGTGATTACATATCATGTTGCGCATGGAAACAAGGGTCCTGTTGAAAAAATTATACGTGATTAGAGCATTTCAATCTGCATAACCTTATTTCCCACCTCCTTGTGTTGTGCGGACCACATGCTATCTTTTTATGGCAGAGCTACTATCGAACAAGAATGATAACATACATGATAGGACCACCATGATTTGACTAGCGTTGGGCCAAAATATACTGTTCCGAATGTTTTCACTCGGCCCAAATTTTAGCCCAATATGACAAGGCTGGGTCGAGCGAGTTTTGCAAATTCCTTGTCAAAGACTCAAACGTGTTGCACTAATGGACGCTGGAAGCATTAAAGGGTGTCATTTTCTAGTCAAAACGGTGGAGGGAGTGAGTCGCGCACACCCTACCCGAAATGTGTTGTTTCCGCTTTATTCTCAGTCTAGATTTTTTCGAGTTCTGGAAATTTTCAAGTCCCACTTGGCTCTAACTCATTTTTGGAGGTTTCCTTTCTCCATCGGTTTTCACATGTTTAGATCAAATTGGTTGCTCTGCTTTTACGATGTTTTCCTTTTTCAAATATTTCATTCAGCAATCTTCTACTCTCACAATTAAAGTTGAAAATAAGAATTGAGTTTAAAAATTTTGTTTAAATAAATGTTTTGATTTTAGAAATTAAAATTTTTTAAAGTAATTGAATTTGAGGGCTTGGCCCTGATAAATCCTGTAAAAAAAGATTTGAACCCGAGTAGCCCTTCAAACCTTATTATATTATTATTATTTTTTTTTTTTAATAAAACACGTGTTTGAAACCAAAAAGGACCTGCTCACCTGAAGTACTGA